GGGGGGGGGGGGGGGGGTTAGAGCGGCTGGTTGCCGTCGAGTGGGAGGACCGACCATCAGAGGCTGCCAGCTGTAGAGACACAGCTTGGGTGGGGGATGGAGAAGGAGAGACGGCTGACGCCTCCGCATCAATGGATGTGCCATTAGAAGGAGAGGCGAAGCTAGACGGTGCTAATGCTGGTAGCATGGGCGGCGGCGGTGGCGGCGGGAGTGATGCGAGGAGGTGCGGCGCAAAAGTGTACTCTGCATACTCCAGTCCAGTGAAGCTAATGTTCGCGCCGTACAATACATGTACTCGTATAGCGTTCTTGTTCGAGGAGGTCGTGTGTAGTGTGTAGGACACCTACGCTACGAGGTGGCGTTCTGCGATTTGTCCGCTTTCGTGCTCTCCCACGCTGTGTTGAGTGTGGCTTGTTCTGATGTCTCTTGTGTACCACTTGACTGCACTGCTGCGACTTTGCACGCTCTGGTGTGCTGCCCTCTGGCAATCAAGCAGCCAAGCCCCCTTCTAGTGTCAACCCGTCATTTTCAGTCCTACATCACGTGTATGTCATCCTGTTGGCCAAGCTCACTCGTCGTCTGTGGTTGCAGTCTCCATCCGCATAATACACATGTGGCTGTAGACTAGCGGGCATGTTGCAGATCGCAACGGCGGTTGCATTTGCATGTGCTTAGGCTCAAGTCCGTGCAAGAACTTGGGCCTCCAAATAGAATCTATCTCCCCTCAAAACGCCGCCATCGCCGGGGCGTTTTTTGTTCCCCTCTCTGTTTATTCTTTGTGGCAGCAGGAGTCCAGCGGGAGAGGGCGCGCGCCCGGTCCCACCACCCCCTCTTGACGGGTTGGCGGTTGGCGTGGTCATCATGCCCCTGGTGGTAGCGAGCATCTTCTTGGTGGCGGACACGAATCGCGTCAGAGGCGGCGGAGGCGCAGGGGGGATCGGGGACGGGGATTGCTCATCGAAGCCCTCTTCCTCGTGTGACGCCGCCGGTAGCTGTGGTGGCGCGGCGGCGGTTTGCGCGGACGGGGCGGAATTGAGTGGTTACCTGGAAGTCATTCTGGAAAGCTCGACCCTGTGCGCTGCCTGGGAGGTGGGTGGGGAGGCGGGGCAGAGGGAAGCGTAGTCGTTCATTGATGGCCTAGGGGTTGTCGTTGCCGAGAAATGTTGCCCAAGACAAATTTCATATATGCATACCTCTTTCAATAGTAATAGCAATAGGTCCGCACTTGCACGTGGGAGCTTGTAAATAAGTAGGATTTCCTCCGCCGCAAGTTGTATCTGCTGTTGCTTTGAAGAAGGGCGAACTCCCACAGTCGACCCCGCTTTTAGGACGCACATGGTTTTTCCTGAAAAAAGCGTCCTGAAAGCGGAGTTGCGTCCTTAAAATCAGGGAACGATAGCTCACCATTCCCGGGGCCAATGGAGGCATGCTGTACCTCAAACTACGCGTCTTTTGATAGGGAAGGGGGTGGTACGAAAAGTCAGCATCGCCGAGACGGCTGGCAACCGTTTGCTGACGTCGAACATATTAACAATACTTAAGATGAGATCTACAGCAGTCGGGGACGTGCTGAAAACAACTACAGTACACCAGTTTGTACTTGGCCAACTAATTTACTGTATAGCCGGTAGCGGAAGAAGGAGGAAAGTCCAAGTAGACATATATATTCATCTCATTCTTGTGAAACAAAAAAGCAACACTCGTACTTCAGCGTCGCACCGAGGAACACCAGTACATATCACTGTCGTCCCGGCGGAGACCAAAAGCTACCCTGATGGCTTTTCCTTTCACATATCGCGAAGAGTTCCCTGAACCTCCCCCCGCGGCTTGGCTCAACGGCTCTGTTGAGTTTTATGAGTAAACAAATGAACGGTCTTCGAAAGAAGGTACTGCATCTCACGGTACTCGCCATCCCTTCCCTTCGCGTACAAATACAGATAGCGCCCGCAGTTAGGAAAATTCTGTGCGAAACAAGGCTCAACTTTGCACGAAAAATAGAAAAAAAGGGCTTAAGAAACATAGCTCAATCTCGGCCACATCGTTAGAAACACCCCAATAAGAAACGTGATGGTGCGATACCCCCATGACAAATCTGCG